TAGAACAACAAACAAACCAAATAAAAAAATTTTATATAAATAACATAAATGACTAAAACGTTATTTGTACATACCTGCTGATGTATTGCCGCCTCCTCCTCCGCCGCCACCGCCACCTTTATTGTCGGATTTTAGTAAAACATTTGAATTGGAATTATTATCGTCCAAATGATGTTGTCCCCCCGCATTACCCGAAGATGTTGTTTGATTTAGCAAACGTCCCATTTCTAGAGAAATTTCCGAATTATCACCATGTTGATATTTCTCTTCAATTTCTGATTCGGTTAATATTTCATATTCGGATGTGTATTGTGTTACATTTTGTCCACCCGTTGCAGAATCTTGATTGTTACCCGGTGCTACTTCACCATCGGAGAGACGATCATCATCATCAACATCACCAACTATATACTCGGGTATATCCATTTTGATGGCACCTCTTAAAATTGTCATATCAGCAGCTGAAAGAAAACAGAACAATTTAGAATACGTATCGTTTCCGTATCTAAAAAACCTATATTTTCGGAAAATATATAATATTATCGAGCCCAGATATTAAAATATGAATTTTAAAAATCATTTTTTTTTCCTAGATATTCTTTTTTAAGCCACAACAGGCTTAGAAATTTTAAGGAACATTTGTTGATGCCATAGCAGAATGTAGATTTTTTAATGACTACATTTTGAAGCAGAGCTCTGACTAATACGTATTCCGCTGCGTATTCTGCTTCCGTGCTACTAAGAGCGATATATGATTTCTGAGCCAGTTTTGACACTGAATGCAAGATGTCAAGTCTTGTAGACGTATTTTTCAAGCCTCTGGCAAACGGAGTGCAGTTATTTTCAAGAATAATTTTTCAAGCCATAGCGGAGTTTATACTTTTTTAAAAATATTATTTTTCAAGTCATTGCGGATCGAAGTTTTTTTTTCGAACCATAACCTATTTCTTAGAGCCATTGCTGAGTACAGATATTTTTAAGAATAAATGCTCAAGCCTTGTTCTTGTTAAGATTAAAAAAATATGTTTTTCGAACCAAGATTATTTAATGCTGCCTCAGAAGAGCCTCGAAGTTTCGAAGCCTTTGTCGAGCGTATATTCTTTAAAATATTTTTTTGAAAAAGAATTTTTTTAGGAATATTTTTTCGCGCTAGCGAAGCAAAGAATATTTTCTGTCAAGAGTAAATTTTCTTAAAAAAATATTTTTCGACGCCATAGACCCCCTCCCATAAAACTTACTCTTAACTATTGTTTGTTCATCCACCGCTTCTGTGGTATAAATATTATCATCATCATCGGAAAAGGTGATTTTTCGTTTCTTCATCGAAACTCCTCCTACTCCCATTGTTGCTGCTGTTGCAGTTGAGGCGGGTAATGTTACAATATTTGTATTTAATGTTCCAGCTTGGGTTGTTACTTGGACTGGCTGGCTATGGGTCTGCTGTTGTTGCTGCTGCTGATGAGTATGATGTTGTTGTTGTAATTGTATATGTTGCTGTGGGTGACCCGTCGTTGCCGTAGTTACCTGATGATGTGTGGTCACTTGGTTGCCGGTATTCTGGGGATTCGCATGAAGTTGTAAATTTTGTATTTGTGTCGGAACCTGCTGATGATGATGATGTTGCTGATGTTGATGGTTTGTGTTTTGTACTTGTGCCGTCTGTGTTTGCAGACTGGGCATTTGCAGTTGGGTCGCGTGTGGCTGGAGCAATGGTATATCGATGGTTTGTGTTGCCGCTGTGGCATCATTGACGGCACGTATTGTGCTCGGTATGGATTTCATGAGTTTTTGATCGTCGAGTACAGGAGTGGGCGGTTTGGGTTTCTCTTTTTCTTCGGCCGTAAGGCCTTGGACTGCCAGCAGCTCGGCGGTTTGTAGAAATGATTGCAATGCTTCTTGCTGGACATTTACTTCGCCCTTAAGTAGGAAAAAGAAGACCACGTTAGTAACATTTCCCAGGTTGATCAATCAAGAAGATTGTACTCACCTGATACATAAACTCTATGATTGAATTGAGATCTTCATATTTGATAAACTTAAATATTATAACCGGATGGGGATGAGGATTTTCTGTGAAAATCTCCTTGAAATATGAACTACATGCAGAGAGCACCACCTTGTGGGCCTTTATCTTCCTGCCATCACACAGCAGGCTGACATCGACAAAATCATCATTTACCCGATGATTGTCCAGGGCATAGGTAAGATGCCGAAAATAATTGTTCCATCTAAGGGAGTATTGCTGTGGCGCGGCCATAATTACAATAGGACGAATGATCCGAGATGTTTTGTGTAATCCACCATTCACTTCTCACAGAGTATTAGCACCCAAACAAATTTTTACATTTCTCTTTGTAGTATTTTTATTTTGCTTCTTTCTTTTGTGGTAATTTCAATTCATTGCATTCACGATATCTTTTCCACAATTCAGAAATTGATTGTTTATTTTTATTTTTTTGATATTTTTTCGCCAATAAAAATCTGTACGTTTTAGACGCTTTTTCCACCGACTGCGACTGAAGAAAAATTTAAAAACGTTCCGTGCTAACGAATGGCAGGAGAAGGCAAAATGACCGATAAAGCAGAACTCAAAGCGGATAACGGAATATTTACGAATGTGGTGGGAGGGAGACTGAAAGATTGTTGTTTACAAACATACACATTCTCACAGGTCACACGGACACTGTGACGCTGGTTCACTGGTGGGGACTGTGTGTGAACTAGTTCACATCGTTCAGCTGTTTTAGGTTTATCTAAATCGACATCTAAATAATCCAATATAAACACAAAGTACAGATACATTTACATGGTGTAACAGTCTAGTAATCTTGTAATATCGTGGTCAGGATTACTAGACTGTTACAGGAGGATGGAGAATGCTGGAAATGAATAGGTCAAATATCTTCGGAGATATTTACACCATCCTAGGAGCTTCCTGTTGTACACTACAGTATAGCATTTTTTGGTCCCGGTACTCCAGATACCGTCTGGCGCCCAATCTTATAATTGATTAGCCTAGGGGAGATGCCAATCTCCTACTAGGCGCGTCTTCACGGGAGGCGGATGGGAAGGGGGTATCCATGATGTACAGTGCCAAACTGACCTAGGCCAACTTTTCTCTGTACTTCGTGGAAACATTAGGGATCACCCGTGGACCAAAATCGATCGGGGTAGTGCCCTTAAATTAATAAACTATGATACGAGAAGAATAAAAGGAATACATTTTATAGTGCAGGGAATTAATAACTCAGTACCGGCGGCAATCGTTGATGAGATCGCAAGCTACGTGACGAACTGGAAATTCAATTGGTAAACGAGCAAGTCAACACTGATGCAAATTTGTCCATGACAGGACTCGGAGGGGACGACCTAGACAGGACCCTTAACGCTATCCGCGATAGTTTAGAGGAGCAGAGTAGGGAAATGTTCGACAAGCAGACAGGATGTGGAGATACGCTTCCAGTGAAACTGCTACTAAATCTTACCCTGACTAATGATGAGCTGGACACTACGGTGGTTCCGGCCAAGTCTACACAGGGGGATTATTATAGACTCAACGAAGGAAGCGTAGACCTTGTTGACCGATCGATTGAAGTCTGACTGAAACAGGTCCTGTGTCGGCACTTGCCGACAATAAACTTCAAAGGCGATGTCCGACGATGGGGAATCTATCGAGGCCCCAGCAACGGACTGCGGCTCAAAGGTCGGAAATTCCCGAGAAGTATCTGATGCGAAACACTACAAGCATGCTGTTTCGTATCTTCGAAATTCGTTTAGCGAGACGCGAATTTGCTTTCGGAGAGGGAAGATCACCTCATCAAGGGCAAGATGAGATTCATAAGGAAATTCGAAAGAATTTACCCGTACACTCACCATCGTGAGCTTCAGATGGAGAGGATGGTAGCTGCTGACGAAGACCTTCAAGTGGCAATCATTGACAAATCTGGTCCTTGTGGTAATATTAGAGCAGTCATCGGTTACTCTTTGAAGCAGCCCTTCGATCAGCTATCGTCTGTGAGTCGGATCAGGAGGATCGTCAGTTTGACAGTGCCTTCATGCAGATGGGTGTCAAAGTCATAAACTGTTTGAACAGGAAATCGAGAAATTCTCGTGATATCTGTTGAGGGCTTTGGTGCACTCTGGGAGGGAGCCAACCTTGCTGTGGTCTCCTTATCTGAGATCCCAACCAGACGGATCCTCTCAGCCTGGGTTCCCCAACTTCAGTGGACAAGAAACTCCTGCTGAAAATGTTGGCGCTACAAACTCCCAACCTCACTACATCGAGTTGGACTGTTGTCAGTCTATCTCCTTGCAACGAGGATGGAGGGATGGTCGCAAGGCCTTTCTCAGAGAGGAAAGAACTGTCTACGTCCAGTGCTTAATTAGTGCTCGATAGTTTTTTATCAGGTGTGCAAATCCGCTAGTGGTTATTGCCACTTAGACGAAAAACATATTAGGTTAGAGTATGTCCTAAGGGAGATAGCATACTATCGTAACTTCTGATGTCATCCTTATTTGCGATGTTGTAACCATCAGAACGCTTTATGCTGTAATTTGTATTAGGATTGACTTCCGACCCAAGTAAGTTGTTCCTCCCATTCATGTAGCCCACAAAAACAATAATTTTAATTAGAAATCTAGGGTTTTTTAATCGATTTTATGGTTATAATTTCTACTAAAAAACAAATATACGTGGATATTTGTTTTTTTTTATATTTATTTCACCAACATATTATATAGAAGCAATAGGAACTTTTTTACAATATAATATAGCCCTATATATTGTATTGCATAATGTAAGACCCAAAATATGCGAATACGTATACGTGCCCCCTTCGATGGTATTGGATTTTCTTTGAGCAAAAACTTTTTAGCACCTTTTGCACATTCTATAAGATATTCATCCATATCCGAATCTAAATAGTCCAGAAATTTAAAGGTGGATCTGAAATTTTTGAATTTGATATACATATTTTTCAAAAAAAAAACCCCCAAAAATCTTACCTCTCCTGATCCTCAATAAGATTTTCCAATGATTTGAAATTGTTATTTATGAAATGCCATTCGGTATTTGTAAATACTTTGAGAATTTCAGTGGTACTCTTGATGCGTCTTTGAATTTTCAATAATCTAGAAAAAATGTGGTATTAGTAAGTATTTGGAAATTGGTAGTATGAAAACGAAGAACTTCAAATACGTACACTGCTGGATGTCCAGCCAATCGTATGAAAATATCTAGTAAAATTGCTGGGATCACTTGCAAGCCGAAGAACTGAAATGAATGATCGTGTTAGTAGGATAAATTGACCTATTAAAAGATTTTAAATCTGAATACAGCTGTTCTCTGAAATTTTATCTTGACAAGCAACCTAACCTAAATAAAATCTTCCAAGGGTGCTCTATTTTTCTTTTTTAATAATTATCGCTTCTAATCCTCTAGAATATGTGAGGTTAGAATGGACATTCGAAATACCGAAAACAAGGCCTAAATCCACGTTTGATCCTCTTCATCGTTATGGATCTGTGTACTTACCCTCAGATAATGCCAAAATGCGCAACGAGTTATTGAACCCTCCGGCAGCCAAATACATTTTTCATATGGATATTTTAAAACCGTCTTTTTACCCATATCAATTATGGTACCCATCGACAAATGTCGTTTCGATGATAAACTACAATTGTACACCTCCAATTTCCGATCACTTCGTATGAGTTTGTCATTGGCCTTTGCGTGTTTATAGCCCGTGACCAATAGGGAATTAACAACCATATCAACTGGTATTATATCGGGTACAATATCTGGATCCGCGTGATTGGTACGCATAATACCAAGACCACAGGCAACAAGCATGCCGACCGGACCATTGAAATTATCAATCCAACCGGGAAAGGGTTCCTTATAGCTGCTTACCACTGAAAATATATGTGAGACATACGAAATAAAGGTGGATCATTAAAAATAAAATTTTAGCTTACCTATGGATGGCCGGAAAATTACTACTGGCAATTTTTGGCTATACTCCTGTACAATGTGTTCGGCTAAATTTTTTGAAAGCGTATATGAATTCGGGTGTCCTGGACAGAATTTGGGTAGTAGCATATTTAAAGTCTCCTGATCGTAAGTCTCCGCCAATTTGATGGCCGTACGCCAGTCTGCGTATGGGGGATATATCTGCAAAGAGATATAATAGCGGAAAATGTTTTGATTCGGATAGACAATTGGAAAAATGAAAAGGACGCATATTTGAAGTCCAAAATACGTTATCAAGATTTTTGTATCCTTTCCTTAGCTTCACAGTCTTCACACCGACTGATCTAAACCCGGTTGGGTACAGCTTTATGGAGATACTTGTTAATGACCATATTTTTCAAACTACCCATATCCTGATGTTGCAGTGATTTTTATTGTCTTCCTATGTAAGAGTATTTAGCTTTACTTTCTTCTTACCTTTTCATCGACCACCCTTAAATCGGGATGTGAATATGTAGTTGAGACGTGTACAAAAACTTTGAGTTTTGGCAATTTCTCAGCAACCTTAAGCATTTCATGAGTACCACGGGTATTCAGGAGTATCGATGTCTTTATGTCATCATCGAAGCGTACCGTTGCGGCCACATGAAATACAATGGTAACATTTTTTAATTTTGCTAAATCTACGGGCGAAAGTCCCAAGCCCAATTCTTGACATTCACCATTGATGGCGATTAACTTCTTATACGCTTCCGGTTGAGATTTGCCGACTTGTTCGAATAGTGGCATTTGAAGGATATCCTCTAAACGTTCCTGGGCATTTCTACCCTTTTTGCTGCGTAATAAAATATAGACTTTTCCAATATCGGGCAGTGAGCGCAGGATCTTTTCGATTAGGACTTTGCCAATGAAACCTGGGGAATGAAAAATATATTATTCTTTTCCGATATAAATATTTTGGATATTTCCTTAAATTCCTGTACCTGATCCTCCCGTAATAAGAATCTCTTGGCCTGCATAATATTTTGCAATGGACATTTTGCTCTTTGCGTCCGCTTTTGATTTTGGTTTCTTGACATTCAAATCTAAACTGTGGCCAACAAAAATGCCTTGCCAAGAACTTGAAATAAATTACAACGTAAATACGTATCATTTACATATCGATGGTTGCTTTATTAGCATTTTTGTTAAGAAAGCTTTCGATCGATATTAATTCGCGGTGTCAGATGTCATATATGATAAATAAAACATAAAGACCAATTTCAAATTAGAACAGACAAATATAAACAATGTGCAAAAATGCAACATTGAACGAGTTGAATAAATCGGAAAAAAATTTTACTCCACATTGTGTATTTAATACTGAACCTGACGGAAGATACGGGAAGGTAAATTCTGATATGGGCGTATATCACAACTGCAACAAGGAAAG